GGGGGGGGGGGGGGGGGGGGGGGGGGGGGGGGGGGGGGGGGGGGGGGGGGGGGGGGGGGGAAGGGGGCGTACACTGAGGTAGAATCCGAATCGCGGAGGAAAAGAGGAGGAAGAGGAGGGGGAGGCGAGGAAACAAGGCAGAGGTGGAAGGGCGAATCCGTTTGGCGGACTAAGCGCGCCCGCAGCTTCGCTTCTGCTCTGGGGTGAGGGCGGGCGGATGGTTGCCAAGGAGGTCCATGAGGAAGGAGAGAACGCCCTTAGCCCGCATGCACAACAATATGCGGTGCATCTACGGGGAGTGGGGGGGGCAGGTGGAGGAGGACTGCGGGGGATTTATTGAGGCAGACGGCGGCGGCGGCGGCACGGATGAAGGCACCCGCCGCCGGTGTCCAAGGCTTTCCGCGTGGAGGACCAGCACACCGGGGGCTGGGTGGTGACTTAAGAAGCGGGCGAGCCGAAACCATGTCGAAACGACGTCGACCATCATGCATCATGGTGGACGAGTACTATGGACGGGAGCGGCGAGGGGGCAACACCGCAGTTGCGCTCGAGAGGTCGGGGGAAGGGCGGGAGAGAGGGGGGCGGCGTGGAGCGGCCGGAGCGACGATGATCGGAGCTCTGCATGGCTGCTCTGCTGGCGCTTCCACTACTGCCCTCCCATTGCTAACGCGCCAAGTTAGCCGTCATTTGCGTCGTAGCGCGGGTGAGCTTGCAGCAGAGCAAGAAATTCTGCGTCTGGAGCGTCGACCGCACTCAGCAGTTGATGGCGAAAAAATAACAATAAAATCGACGAGGTCGTTCTTGGGAGCTGCGAGGACTATTGAGAGGGNGGGGGGGGGGGGGGGGGGGGGGGGGGGGGGGGGGGGGGGGGGGTGCAAGGAGAGGAGAGAGGGGGCGACAAACGGCCGGCTTTGACGGTGGCGGCGGAACACACCTCCTCTTTACGGCGCGGCGGCAGCACCAGAAGTAAAAGCACCCCCCCCGGGTGTCGTATGGACACGTACTCCACCGCGCGGTGGGGGCGAGACAAGTACGCAGCATGAGGGGATCAAACCTTTGGCTAGCTTGGAGAGCGAGAGGGAGATGAACCACCGCCTGACGAAGCGGACCGCCATCGGAGGGGCCGACTCGACCCGTCGGGGGTGCGCTCCTCCGCCGTTTGCACGGCGGCGGCGGCGGCGGCGGCGGTACATGCACCGTTCGGTCCCGCCATTCGTTTCCGTCTCTTGGAGAGGCAAGTTTTTTTTTTTCGGTGGTGTGGGCGCATGGCTTCGCCCGTTCGCTGATGATCTGGGCCCACGGGGGAGCAGTTTTGTTGCCGCCGGGTTCTGTTGTGGTTTTAAGTTGTAAAGTGGCGAGCTTCGGTTTTCCTGGTTTTGAGAAGAGCCTGGAGCCGGGCGGACGGCGCAATACGCGCCCCACATCCTCGAGCGCGCGTTCATATCCGAACAGGCGGTTCTACACGAGGGTGGGAGGGCAGGGAGGGGGGAGGGGAGAG